ATTAAAAAGATTTAAAATAATTTCATTAAAAGCAGATACCTTATCGTCAATGTTGATGGGAATAAGAACAGGAGACCAGTCTATGCCATTAAGTTCATCTCTCAGACGTTCCCATTGAATGGATTTAAAGCTCCTCAAGAAAACAAATTTGGATTTACGTTTGGGCCTTTGGATTTTACAGGAAAGGAAAATTAGATCGTGATATGAGAAAGAAGCCGACAATTGACCATGGCAAGAGACACGTTCAATATTAGAGACAATTATTAGATCTAAAAGAGAAGGAGTGGAATTAGGAGAGTGGTGAGTAGCAGAGAGAGGAAGAACATGTAAATTAACAGAAGAAACAAGGTCAAGTAATTTTTTACTGCGTGTGTCCCTTTTTAATAGACAAGTATTAAGGTCACCTAAAATAATTGTATGGTCGTAAAGTGGCGTTAAATTTTCAAGTTTACTTTCCAAAGAAGAGAAGTAATCAATATTGCGAGAGGGCGAATAATAAACACCTAATAGAATCCTAGAATGTTTAACAGTAATTTCTATAAATAAATGCTTAGAAAATTTTGAATATAAGCTAGGAGACTGTTCAACGATTTTAAAGGGAATATCTCCTCTCAAATAAATTGCAACTCCGCCGTAACCTTTGCCAATTCTATCATTGCGTATTAGTTGAAAGCCAGGAAGACAGTATTGGACGGATGGAAGAGCAGGTTTAAGAAAAGTTTCCGAGATAAGAATGGCATCAATTAATTTAGAATCAAATGACGCTACGAGATCAGCATAATGTGAGGGGACGCTTTGAGCATTTATGTGGATAATATTGAGATTGTCACTATAATTGCAAAACTCAGATTCAATTTGATCCCGTAAATTAGTGGAATCGTTAATTAATAATCGCGTTAATTAATGAAATAAATTAATCATTTATAGCGTGAAGTCAATAGTACAAATTCAAAATATCGTTATTCACATAGACGCTTGCGTGTTCCAATGAAACGTCGAAATTTTACATAGAAATTAATACGTTCGTAAGTTACAACCGGTTCGGAAAGCAGTTTCTGTTGAGAAAAAACAGGCAAGAAACTCAACAGTTGCTCTTTAAAAAAGGTCAGTTTACAATATATGGTATAATACTCTTATTTTAGTCTACGTGAGTATGATCAGTATTAACTCCACACATTGGCATCGTCAAGATATCCACAATGGTATAATATGCTTTAGCTATAAGTTTACTTTTAATTTTTCGTTTAAATTCATCAAGTCGCAGACTTAATATCGATTGTGGGATTTATATTCTTTTATTTTATACACACTTAGCCCCATGAACGACCTTATGTAGACGAAACAATGGCGTAGTATAAGTAGAAGTAAGATAGCTACACTATCTAGAAATTTCTCATAAAAATAAGACATAATTGACCACGCAATTAGACATTAAGGCATCCTGGACAGCGTGTACCGCGGCCGCCTTTACATGCGCCAACTTGTGCATAAACGTATCATTTCGAAGTCAAAGAACCCGCGTATCGGGCAGTGTCAATGCTCCGCTGGGTCGGGAGCGGCGTTGCGAAAGAAATCGCGGGTTTATCGCCCCGGACCTACGAACTGGCAACTGCTTTTATTGCCTTCGTCGAATCGCCCGCGAGGGTTGCCCGACCCGCAAATAGCGCGTCGGAAAACGTCATAACGACCGCTAATTGTGTGTCATTTTCGTGGCACCTCTAGCGGTTATAAGGTATTTTCTATGTTAAGTAATTCTATTTTAGGAGCCGTGATAGCTCAGTGTCCGGACGCTCGCCTTTAACATAATATACTCGAGCAACCTGAGTTCGATCCCCGGTGCCGGCACCAATGACATTGTTAACTTTAAGTGCCAAAAAATATTTCGAAGATATGTGAAGTCCACCAATCCGCAGTGGGGCCGCGTGGTGTATGCTGATACCCTCTGTACAGAGGTGGCCTTTGCCCAGCAGTGGGACATATACATAGTGGGACATATACATATATAGGCTGTTACTTATAAGGAATATTGATTGAGAAAAAAATTCCGTTTTTCAATGAAACTTTAATACTAGACAAATAGAAAATTATAGCATCAATACCATAAACATATATGTATTTACTATTTCATGTAACAAATGCTGTATTTCGTAAATTGTTATCTTATTTATAAAAAACAGAGTAACATACCTTTTATTAAGTACATATAAAGGTAGAATTTCTCTCATATTCTCTTATAAAACTTCCAGCAACATATTCCAAATAATATTGTTATATTTTTAAAAAAATTGCGTAAAATTCACTTTTAAGTACGGTAAAATCTCAAACTTAAAACTAATAGACATTACGTTATCTAGCTTGAAGGAAAAGCACAGCCCTATCCAAAAGCTGACAAGGATTTTGCTCCCGTACCGTAATCGTTTGTGTCAACTATGAAAATAAAACAAGCTATAATCAAACGTGGCGCCAAACATAACGAGTGTTAAGACACTATTGTAGCAAACAGACTTTACTGAAATTGATTAAAGTAGTGGCATAAAAATACCACTTAGAGACAAAAGCCAAACATCATCAACATTTCGGCCTGTTCGAGTCCACTGCTGAACATAGGCCTCCCCCACAGACTGCCACGAAGCACGATCCACCATTGAATGAATGAATGAATATTTATTTAACCTTCATCCGTTGTCTTCCCGCACATTTCCCAAACATAATTAGAACATACATAAAAAATCTGAGCATTGTGAATACAAAGTGTTGTCAAATCTTTCTTTGTTCATAACGTTCATTAACATTTTTTGAACGATTTGATATCTTCCCATTTGATGCTAGAATGGGAAGCCTCGTCCGGGTAAGTACCGTGAACTCAGGCCAAGCTAATAGCAAAAAGCAAGGCTGCGGTATTATTCCAAACGGAGATCCCGTGAATCCACATGACAGCTGATGGCGACCATCGTGGGGTTTTGGTCGGTGCGAGTCCGACATCACCTTGCTCTCCCGTATGTGGGAGGCTAGGTATCCATAACGGATTTCCCCACGAAAAAAAAAACAAAAAAGAACCGTGAACTCACAGAAGGCCGTCATGAAGTGTAAGTATTATACTTTCGCGTTTCGTCTGATGTGCGAGGTAACAGGGTCCCACTTGTTAGGGTTTCGTACCGAAAGGGTAAAACTGGACCCTATTACTAAGACTCCGCTCTCTGTCTGTCCGTCCGTCTGTCTCGATTGTTAGTTAAAATTTTCCCAGATGATTTATTTCTGAATAAATCTAAAGTAATATTCCTATCAATGTGATTATAGGTAATTTTTTTATCCACTGAGAAGTCTTAAATTCGAAGTATGAAACTGAATATCAAATCGTCGTTTACCGAAGCGCCTATCTTATGCAAACATTTATCGCTCAGTTGTGCCGATCCTAAACTTGTCATTGCACTGCAAATCCGATAGAAAGAGCTCTTAGTCTCTACCGGGGCTCTCGCCTACCGAACTCTGTCCCAACAAGAAAGCATTATATACGTAGCAAGCATTGCGTCCGCAGAATGCGATTCAGATAGACAAAGCCTCAACGTTCGAGCGTTACTCGTCTGAACAGATAACAATCAATGCACAGATAACCTAAATACCGCATGTTGTCCTACAAAATTCGGTATGCAGTATTAAGTCGCGACCACAAAGCCCCGGCAGCGTGCTGTTGTCGATGTATTTTAACACCAAACTGAATAATACATTCTAAACGAGGGGAAATTCAGCAAACGCGGAGCGTTCCGTTTCCCGCCACAGAATAAGAACAATGTCGCAACATCGATATTATACACAATGTCCAATCGATAACTGAATAAATTCATTCGTCGGGCGCGCGATGTGGGTCGAATGACTCGCCAAAACAAATAAAAATGCAACGATAGCCGCCCGGTGCATCGACCTTGCATCCTCGTGCCTGTGTCACGCGGAAATATGCCGTGAATCAACACTGTAAGGGCCACAATGCCGTAGCGGCGGCGGCGAGAAATAAGAAAGTAAAACCTAAGATGAAACTGAAGACGGCTCCCGCCGGCCGCGTGAGTTTCGACCGTCGGCCTTGGTAATAGACATCAGTTTCACGCGCAACACGTCGGGAAATAAAAGACGAAGGGAAAAAGATAAAGATGCATTCATAGCAGTCCGTTATCGGCGAGTCCATGAGTAAATATTTCGCATTTCGCTTATCTCTGGTTTAATACAGACTGTTTTGAAATGTCGCGTTTCGACGACCGCCCGATTGCCGGCTGTTGACCCAAATTGTTTTTCTGATTCATTTCGCTTAATCTGTACCTTTCGCGTTCTTTATTTAGATAAGATAGGTGTGGTATTTGCTTTATTACAAATATTAGCCACCTCATAACTGAACATTTCTTTACTGAAATATGTGAACAATTTTGTTTTTACTGCTAGTCTCGGCACTCTGGATGACACTGAAATATGATTCTATGGTTTTAAGGGGTTACCCAGAACTTTTAGGTTAAATCCCGCAGCCTCGAAAATTTCGACAATAATTCATGTACCAAAGAAAACCATTTTAATTTTTTTACTGAAAACGTGTTAAATTTGATCCGAACATCATTGCATGACAGGAATCGTTTACCGTGTTTTAATTGGCCGTCATAATTTACACTCAACTCTTGCATACTGAAATGTTTATAAACCAGGATTTCCATGCAGAGTTTTAGAGATTTAGAATTAAGGCTAAACAAACATGAGGACTTAAAGAGCGAAAAGCTGAGTACTAAACAGCAGCTCTGCGAGTTCGTATTGCAGCCACTAAACGTAAAAGCCCGATTGTCTTCGGTAGTTGCAGAAACTGCATGACTCTTCTCCCTTCAGCCTTTACATCCTGAACCTATTCGTATTCACAGCGGCATTGTTCTAACGATCTTTAATTAACAATTGGCCATCTTTTGTTACTATATGCCCTCTTTATGTCAACATTGGAAAGGCACGTTCTGAGTGAGTCGATTTTGTTGCAGACTAAAGCGCACAGCGCTGGACAGCGCTAGCAACAGCGCTACGAGAAGGACCTACACGGACGACGAACTTCAGAGCGCGCTGAGAGACATCCAGTCGGGGCGGCTGGGCACGAGGCGCGCGGCCGCGATATACCGGATACCGCGCTCCACGCTCCGCAACAAGATCAACAAATGCGGCATCGCCGCCGACCTGGGCCACGACTCCGAACCGGACAGCGACCCGGAGAGGGCCGACTCGCCGCCCTCCGTGATCCTCAAGATACCGACGTTCCCCCCGCCGGAGGAGAAGAGCCCCTCCCCCGCCACGCCCGTCACCCCGATCACGCCGCTGATCCCGCCGCCGCAGCCGCTGCAGCCGCTGCAGCCGCCGCTCAACCCGCCCTCGCAGCTGCTGCTGCCCGCCTCAGTGTTTGCGGACCCACCCTCCACCCAGCACTTGTTCACGTCGCTGAGCGACGTCATAGCGAAGAGCATCAGCCAGAAGTTCCAGCAACCGCTGGAGCGGCCGCCGCAGCCCGAGCTGCCGTTCATGCGGGCGCCGGAGAGGCACGTGTCGGTGATCAAGACGCCGCCCGAAGGCCAGCAGAGGGCGTACGCGGCGGCGGCGGCGGCTGCGGCGGCGGGCAACTCCCGCGCTCCCACCTCCAACAACAACGGGCAGCCGGCAGCCGGCGGCAAGGGCACCAGGCCCAAGCGGGGCAAGTACCGCAACTACGACCGGGACAGCCTCGTGGAGGCGGTGAAGGCGGTGCAGCGGGGCGAGATGTCGGTGCACCGGGCGGGCTCCTACTACGGGGTGCCACACTCGACGCTCGAGTACAAGGTGAAGGAGCGGCACCTGATGCGGCCCAGGAAGCGCGAGCCGAAGCCGCAGCAGGAGCAGAAACCGCAGCCGAAGCCGCCGCCGCCCAAGGCGCCCGCGAAGCCGTTCGCCAACGGGCTGAACGGGCCCGAGGCTGGCTACGCGGGCGGCTACCCGTTCTGGGCGGGGGGGTTCGCGCCGCCGCCCGCGCCCGACCTGTACGCGTCGCACATGATGCGGCGGCTGCGCGACGAGGCGCCGCCGGCAAACGGCTCCTTCCTGGAGGGCATCATCCGCTCGAGCCTGGAGCGGCCGCTGCTGCCGCGCGCCGCGGCCGCGCCCGACGCGCCCAGCCTGCTGCGGCGGCTGGCCGGCGAGCCGGAGGAGGGCCCGCCCGCCAGGCGCCCGCGCATCGGCAGCACCGACCGCCAGCTGGCGGCCGAGATGCGCGACGCGGTGCAGCGGCTGCGCGCCGACAAGATGCGCCCGGCGCCGCGCAACGGCACCCCCACGCCCCCCGCGCCCGCCGCGCCCCCAGCCGCCGCCGCGCCCACGCCCCCGCCGCCCGCGCCCTCCGCCCCTGCGCCCCCCGACCGCCCCTAGGCCGCGACGCCCCGATCTCCTCAGCCCTTGTGATAATATGTAAATGTAAAGTACATTCCGTTGGCGGGCCGCGGCGTGCGCCCGCGCCGCGCCGCAAGTGCAATACATACAGAGCTCCCGCAGCTCGTTGCGTCGTTTGTGTATACTGTTATAGTGACAATAACTATAGGTTTTCGTTTTCCGTCACCCGACCCGCGACCGGTTTCGTTTTGGCGAGTTGCGTTCGTTTCTCAGACACTCCACCCGCTTCCCCCGTAGTGCCCCTTCCTCTCCCCCGTTCGGCTTCCCTCAGCTAGGCCAGCGTGGCCTCACGTATTCTCACACACAATATGTATCACCAAATATCACAATAGTTACCTAAAGTCACAACCAGTTCAATATAACACAGCTTTACTAATGCAATATCACAATTACATAGTGTTAAAGACCCAACGCCGTTTCAGTCCCAGGGATGATGTCGATTGCGACTTGTAGTGCCGTTCACAAGATGTCGCTCCGATCTATTCGACACAATTGTACCATCTGCTTGCTACTGGTCGAACTTAATAGACAAAGTTTTTTTTCGTGCACTGGAAACATTCGAACGGCACTAAAACCGCAACTGACCAAAGGTTGTCCAAAATTTTTCCCAATATCCGATAGCCTCGATTTTTGACCTTGTTTTTAAGTAAAAGACAACCAAAAGTTAATGTTATAAAATCAACTATTTAAATATTTTTAAGTACCTAATGAAAAAAAAAATTGTAACAAATTAATTATAACGCTAGCTATGAGTGTAACGTTATCGATTTTTAAGTAACAATCGCAGGTTTTGTGCGGTGTTTTGTATAATTAGATAGGTAATATATTGAATGAAATGATTAGCAATTTGAGGGGATCGATCGATTGCGTCTCATCTCTGTCTCTCGAGGGATAAGTGAAGAGGACGGCAGTGTTAGGGATGCGCGGGTTTCCGCGAGCTGCGTGTCGATACGGAGCAACGTTCGGACTTATGTGCAATTATTATTTTGTAAAAAAAAATAGTAATTTTAACTGTGTCTAAGCTAACACGTGGATTTCCATATTACTCAATGTGATATTTAGGTATTATAAATGCGGTTTGCTTCTAGACACCGGGCACCCTCCGCCCCGCCGTGGTATATACACGTACGTAAAATGGTACATCTAGTGAACTTATATATTTTATGTACTATTATTGTATCTTAAGAAAATATATTCTTATTTTTCATGGTCCAAGTTTTAAATGTTTTATCGACTATACAAAAATATGGATAATCATTATTATATTCTTGTCAACTTTAAAAATTATAATTAGCCCAAAAATCTTCAAAAAAAATTAAATAAATAAATCATAATAATAACGATATCTTCAAACTTGTGGAATTTTTTGGTGTTCAATCGAAAATATATTATGGATGATTACGAGATGAAATGAAATTGTATACGCTCTCCCAGATTAAATTTAGGTGAAGACTATTTGGATGTAAAATTATCAATACGATTACATATTGTAAGTTACGTGTAATTGTGCGCCTCATGGAAAATTATCGAGTCTTTGTATCGTGTATGTAATTGAAATATACATATATTATATACAAGTTAAAAGATTATTGTCGTACATTAGCTCTTCGGCTGCCACAAGTGGCGTCAAACGTTGTACCGAGCTTGCATTCGACATTCCGGCTCAATGACATTTATCGTACCGAATATACAGACAGGGACGCGACAAGTTCGAAAATATTATATAATATAAAACTTTTTATACCCAAATCGTAATACATATCCAATGGCGCGATGCCAAATGCAAGCTCGCGATTGGAGAAGATACGATACAATTTTTATATTCGAAATTTTAAAACTAGTCGATAGCATCTCGCCCATCACTTTTCGCTTTCCGTTTTCGATTTCGAAGTGCATTCGGCCCTAGAATATGTTCATTGGACGTTTATTGCATTTATGTATATATATGCATGTTTTCTTGTACCTGTAATTATTTAATCGGATATTAATCCGAACTGACAACAACTTTTTCTCGTCGTGTCGAACAACGCCCCGCCAGACCGCATTTCATAACGTCAAAAAATTTGAAAATCGAACAACATTTACTTCTCAAAAATACGTACACGTATTTGTGTGTTATGCCTGACATTTGTTGCTAGCTTAAAAAAAAGGTTATTTTGTGTAAGTTTGTACAGAAATAATAGGATGGGACAAATTGCAAAGAGAATTTAGCTATTAAACATTCCGTTTAGAATGTTACTAGATTTTTTTTTAATTATAATATAAATATTTTTCGCATCGGGAACAAATCATTATGTTGTTTAATCTTATTTTTGTAACGTTAGTTAATTTTTAAGTGGCTTTATTTTTTTAAAAATAACCCTATCTATATATGATTATAATTATATTGAGATGTTAAACATGTCATTGTTTTTGTGCGAAGTGTTTGGGGTTTCGATTCCCGGAATAAAATGAGAGTTGCGACTGATATGTAGTAGGAAAATGCCGAGTGCCGAGCACCCGGTCGGTCTGTACAAATGGTATAAGCCGCCTTAACACTTTAAATGTTATCCACAGTGATCTCCGCTATATAACTGGCCAGCCGGCACACGTTTCGCGAATATGCAGCCTTTTTTTACGAGCTCCATTAAAAAAAAAGGAAACCGCTGACTTGATGCGATTATTTGCAAATCAGACGTCTGCGAGAGTTAACGTTGAACAATTCGACCGCTGAACACAACTGCGACGTTTGCGACAGACAAACACGGTTTTAACGGCGTCCTTCCTATTGAAGAGATCACTGGTTATTAGTGAATCGTTTTTTATTGTATATTGTTCAATCATTTTTCCACGTAGTTCTTAAGCATTTTAGTTAATACCGTAGCGTAATTTTCATTATTAGGTAGGCGGTAGTAATTCTTTAATATTCTGTTAATTTTTTTTTCGTAATTGTAATAAATTTTCCGTAAGGTTTAGGTTAGTCTTGAACGGGCCTCGACATGGTCCGGGAACAAAAAAAAGACAATGAAGGGAAGTTGCATTTTTTTTAATTAAACACTTGTAAAAAAAACTACATTAAGATTCCACGAGGTGTTATGAATGTGTTATTTGTGTAAATTCTGAGTGCAATCTTTCTCCTCTGTTATTACTTTGGGGCACGCAACAATTCAAAGTACTAAGACGGCTACAAGTGATACGGCATAAAATACCCGTAGTGAGACAGAGACGGTGTGCCATACGCGGTCTCGCTCGTTGTCAAATAAAAGCGAGTACTTTGAACGGTGCGCGCCCCAAAATCGCGTTCCCGCTCAAAACTGACGCGCCCGCCATCTTGGACTTGATCGGCGTTCGATTTTCGAAATTTGACAGCGCGACAGTCGCGACGCGGGAAGTTCGAAAACGTTGCCAGCCCCACCCGCTCGACGGGCTCCCGTGAGCACACACCGTCTGTCCGTGTGACTGCGACCTTGTATATAAACGTCATGAAGCAACCGCTACTACGACTAGCTACGCTAAGTCTACCTTTGTACTGGTGTAAAATCTATACATTTCTCTAAATGTAAGTTTCGCCTTTATTGTCAGTACTTGTTTTCCTTATTACTATTATTTCGTTTCTTTTTACAACTGTATCTACTTCTAGAAAGATAATTTTTATCGATATAATTATTGTACTATTATTACAATATTTGACTTATTATTATTATTACTACATTTAGAATTATCGTTGATTGTAACAGCGTAATCAGAGATGATTTTTGTTTATTGTAACCCTGCTAGAAGCGGTATACGAGCGCTGAGGTTCGTTTGAAAATTATGTACAACACGAAGCATTTAATTTTAGACATATTAAATATAATGTTATCTTTATTAAAAAAAACTAACTAGTGTGAAATTCGATGAAATATTTTCATGGTGTATTTATTTAAAGAGTTTAACGCTTATGTCAAATCACATCACACTGCTGGGGAACATTTCTTGTTTTTGAGAGTGTTGTCTATGCGATGGTTTGAAAAAAAAGGATCGTTTTGTTTGTGATTGGATTTAAAAAAGTTAGGTAATGGACCAATGTATAGACTCTGTTAATTCCCAAGGATTAATTGAGCGGCTCATGTTTTTTTTATAATATATAAACTGCTAAAGGAGCTAACAAGATCAAATTATAATATTGTTATTTAATTATTGAGTACAAGTTTTAATGAAATATTTTTTTCAATATACCTTACTCGCCTCTTTATTTTTGTTATTTTGTTCCTTTAGTTTTTATTATTATAATTATCATTGTTTAATTGTCACTACAGATGATTTCGCGTTGATTTAAGGCGATTCGATTTATTTTTTTATAATAGATAATATATATATATATAACTTCTTCACTCACTCCCTCAGTAAGAAAAGTGATGAATCATAGGTTTTCCTTTATTCTAATTCACTACTCACGTTTGTTATAAACAAAATATGGCAGAACGGTTAAACATTGGCGGTGCTTCAAATTATACAGTGATTGGCAAAAACACTAATGTATTGAATCTAGTCAAATTTCTAAAGATGAGAAAAATTCGGAACGCTAAGCTGATTCGACTGACATTTTTTTTTTTTGATAAAGCGAAAAAAAAAAACGTTGAAAATATCGTCCAGAAACGTCGCGAGGCGACTTAAAAAAAGATTTGATTTGAAATTGTGGAATTGTACACAATGTGTTGTAGAAGAAAAAAAAACCTGTTTCTTACGTATTAACTAATGTAACACGTAGCATCATTTGAGGTGAAAATTTTTTCATATTATGTAATGTCCTTTATCTGTAAGATCTTTATATCTTTACGTTAAATATCTTAATGACGTGGCTGGTTAAGCAGGTGTAAGAATGTGCGAGGATATTTAAAACCTGTATACAATAAATTTCTTTCATTTGTTGATTCATTTGTTTCATTTATGCATTATACCCTCTTAAATGAAATGCCCTTTCTGATGGCGTAATTTTTAGCGAGGAACGAATTCAC